AGTACACTACCCTGTGGAATTCCGCTCAGAATGGGGTGATCTTCAGAGGAATTGCCGTTTACTTTTACTCTCTGCTTTCTCTGGTAAAGGAAATTTCCTACCCAGTTGACGATTTGGTTACTAATTCCGTGACGTCGTAATTTCTCCAATAGTCTACGGTGGGGGACCGTGCAAAGGCCTTCATAAAATCAAGGTAAATGACATCAAGTTCGCCACCGTTATCTATTTTACTAGTCAAGTCTTCCATCACCATCAATAACTGCAGTACGGTTGATCTTCTAGAAATGAATCCGAATTGTTTGTTGCTGAAAAAGTTATTATTTTCCATATGACTGACGATAGCATTTCGAACTATCTTTTCCATTGTTTTTCCAATCATGCTGGTGAGGCTTACCGGTCTGTAATTTCTCGGTTCCGATTTTGATCCTTTCTTGAATATAGCTGTAATATTTGCCTCCTTCCAAGCAGATGGTACCGCGCTGTCTTTCAAAGATTGAAGAAAGATTATAATTGACGGTTTATTAATAGTTGAGTATGATTCCTTTTTAGCCTTAGGGTGAATTTGATCTGGTCCTTGGGATTTACTGAAAGCACTGAAAGAAGTTTGCCTATGCTTTCTTCGTACATAGAGGGTCTTCAAATTGCTTGATTACAAATTTATTTTCCATATTCGGTATGTCACCTTCAGCTTCTTGTGTAAACACACTACTGAAAAAACTTGCTAAAACATCGGCCTTATCTTTGTCATGTGTTGCAACTAGGGACGAGTCTCCATTTAGCCCTTTCAAATCCGAGATCCCCGTTTTAACTTTCCGCTTTGAGTTGATATACTTCCAGAATTTCTTGGGGTTAGACTTAATATTTCTTGCAATATCCTTTTCCATATCACGACGTGCTTTCCTTAGTAAAGTCTTCACTTGATTTCTTAATTTTTGTAATCTTTGTATTTGGTTTCTGATCTAGTTTCCATGTATCTCTGCCAAGCCCTGTGCTTTTTATGGAGTTTCTTCCTCGCATCCTCGTTCAATGGAATAAATCTATCTTTCCTCTCTAGTGACCCATTTGCTTTAATTAATGGTACAAATTTGCTAACAGTTGTTTGAAAATGGTCTGTAAATTTTCTATACATATCATACACATCTGTCAATATCGCGCCCATTCTTTCTCCAGTTCTTTCCTCATACTCTCATAATCACCTTTGTTGTTATTTCTGCGTGGTACTTGAGACAGGAGACTTATTACAGCATATGTAAATCAAATAACAATACAAAGTGGTCACTGTGACCGAGACGACTTTCATGCCTTATGTCTTTTATCATTTCATCCTCATTTGTTATTATCAGGTTCACAACCCACTCTCATTCTGGTGAAGTTCCTTGTATGTTGGGTCAAAAAGTTATCTGTTAGGCATTCTAGGAAATTGTCGCTCTCTTGATCATTTTTCGCTGATTGTTAATTCAAGTCAATTTTTGGAAGGTTGAAATATCCCATAATTGATAAATGAGTGAATTCTTTTTGAAATTGTTACGGTATTTAATAGCTTATATAGTTCTTCAATATTTTCATTCTGGGAATCTGGGCTTTCATAGACGCAGTCTGCTAATAGACAATCATTATCGTTTAATTCAATTTTAACCTAAATGCTTTCTTTAAATGTTGTACCCACATTAATCTCTACAGCATTAAGTTCTTTTCTAACATATATTGCCACGCCTCTGTGGCGTGTCTCTGCATTATCATTTATGAATATATCATATCCATCTATTAAATATTCGCTTTTGTTTGGTGAAAATCTGCTATTTTTAGGATAAACTTCTGTTACTCCAATCATGTGTATATTTTTATCAGCGTTAATTACTCTTGATTTCAGTTCATCCAGTTTGTTTAGATAAGCTGTCTACATCGGTATATAGACATGACAGATATTTCTTTAGATTAGGAATTAAAAGTTTGGTCCTTTTTTGGCCGCCACTCGGACAATCCTGTTCCGGGCCTCTTACCAAGTGGACATATTCCCCCGATTTCTCTTTGATGGTTTTTCTTTTGGCTTCTTTTAGTGACTTTTCATTGTCTCTTTCAGTCTTAGATAAATCAATACTAATCATGACTTCCTTGTAAACTTCTTCATTTCGGAGTTCTTTAATGTTCTTGAAAAGAATCTTTTTGACTTTTGTGTATGCAAAAGAAACCAGAATAGGCCTATCACTCTTGGTATTTTCCAAGTCGGATTATTTTTGTTATTGTGCCTTCTTCTATCTTTACTTAACATGACCTTAACATGCTCCGTATCAGTTTTTCATCTGCTTGTTTTCGGGATTTGCCGTCTGCTTCGTTTTGTTCCTCAAATCCATAAACAACTATGTTGTTTTCTCTCTTCTTCCTCTCGTTTAACTCGCTTATAACCTCTTGTGTATCTGTATTTGATTTTTTCGTACTGTCCTCACTTTCTTGTACACCAGGTTTTCCTGTGATTGTGCTGCACTTCCAAACTCCTCCTTCACTATTTTCCTAACTTGTTGCTCCTCACATAACATAGTGTTACTTATCATGTAATATTCCTTGTCATCTTTTCCGAGACATTTGATTCAAAAATGGGCCCGGCATCTTTGACACTCGAGGATTTTGTAGCTAGGATCCACAACAATTTCAGAACAAACTTTGCATGTCCAATCATCATCCCATCATGTGCTGAAGGTCCACTCCAGCGACCGTGAAGCAGATCCGGATGGTAGTCCTTCCCTGGTTTTTGTTTTAGACACTGTGGCCGATTCGGCAGCAGCGCTTTTCCCGTTGCTAGGCTTCATGATGCAGCCAATGCTCCGTTTAGACAATTTCGGTGTTTTCTCTTTGGAAATTCTGTTTGGAAAATAACTGCCAGCTAATCCTTGGTACGTACTCACATTGTTGTGTTAATTACATTCTTGTGACGCTAGTAATCTTCAATTTTCTAGATCAGATCCTGGAGCGACAACAATACGCTGCCGTCTCCATTGACACATATAATGTGGACAGTAATTATAACACAATCACAGTACCACAACAAAGACACTAATATTGATTTATAAATAAATTGAAGCTATAATGTTTGAAAAGTTTTTGTAAATTAGTCTGTTCAATGTTACATAAGTAAAGGACACATACAATCAGACTATATACTTCTCATACATGCTACGTAATCTTGGGTTTGGCCTGATATCTCGGTAATACTAATGTATCTCGGCGCGTCTTAACATACCGGAAAAAATCTTTCTCTCAAAAACAAAAACCCATTCTCGTCAATACAAATATCTTACAGACAAGACAAATTGTCTTCTCGCCAATACGAACATAATTTAGGACATCTTACGAACAAGACAAATTGTCTTCTCGTCAACATAGCATGATTAAGAACACCTTACAGACAAGACAAATTGTCTTCTCGTCAATACAAACATAATTTAGGACATCTTACGAACAAGACAAATTGTCTTCTCGTCAACAAAGCATGATTAAGGACACCTTACAGACAAGACAAACTGTTTTCTCGTCAACATACCATGATTAAGGACACCTCACAGACAAGACAAACTGTCTTCTCGTCAACATAGCATGATTTAGGACACCTTACCGACAAGACAGATTGTCTTCTCGTCAACATAGCATGATTTAGGACACCTTACAGATAAGACAAACTGTCTTCTCGTCAACATAGCATGATTAAGGACACCTTACAGACAAGACAAACTGTCTTCTCGTCAACATAGCATGATTAAATTACCTTCAATATAAATATAATTTAGGACACCTTTCCGACAAGACAAATTGTCTTCTCGTCAACATAGCATCATTTAGGACACCTTACAGCGAGACAAACTCCCTTCCCGTCAATACAAACATGATTTAGGACACTTTACAGACAAGACAAACTCTCTTCACGTCAATACAAACACGATTTAGGACACCTTACAGCGAGACAAACTCTCTTCCCGTCAATACAAACATGATTTAGGACACCTTACAGCGAGACAAACTCTCTTCACGTCAATACAAACACGATTTAGGACACCTTACAGCGAGGCAAACTCTCTTTCCGTCAATACAAACATAATTCAGGACACTTTACAGACAAGACAAACTCTCTTCACGTCAATACAAACACGATTTAGGACACCTTACAGCGAGACAAACTCTCGATCCGTCAATACAAACATTATTTAGGACACCTTACAGCGAGACAAACTCTCTTCACGTCAATACAAACATAATTCAGGACACTTTACAGACAAGACAAACTCTCTTCACGTCAATACAGATACGATTCAGGACACCTTACAGCGAGACAAACTCTCTTTCCGTCAATACAAACATGATTTAGGACACCTTACAGCGAGACAAACTCTCTTCCCGTCAATACAAACATAATTTAGGACACTTTACAGACAAGACAAACTCTCTTCACGTCAATGCAAACACGATTTAGGACACCTTACAGCGAGACAAACTCTCTTCACGTCAATACAAACACGATTTAGGACACCTTACAGCGAGACAAATTCTCTTCCCGTCAATACAAACATAATTTTGGACACTTTACAGACAAGACAAACTCTCTTCACGTCAATACAAACACGATTTAGGACACCTTACAGCGAGACAAACTCTCTTTCCGTTCATACAAACATGATTTAGGACACCTTACAGGGAGACAAACTCTCTTCACGTCAATACAAACACGATTTAGGACACCTTACAGCGAGACAAACTCTCTTCACGTCAATACAAACACGATTTAGGACACCTTACAGCGAGACAAACTCTCTTCTCGTTCATACAAACACGATTTCGGACATCTTACCGACAAGACAAAGTGTTATCATCGTCAAATAAAAACATGTTCGGTATCTTCTCAGATTTGACAGAATGAATTCTCGTCGATTATCGAGAGCATTGCCCAGACAAGAGATAGAGAGCAAACTTCGTTAATTCAACACGTCTGATACGTATCATTTTGCTCATTTTAGATCTCGCTCCAAAGAAGGTTCGTGTCAACTCGGTAAAGTAAGTATTGTAAACCCAGATGAACGCTAAAGAAAGTAAATATTGTACACTCTCGATTGATATTGCACGGAAAGGCTAAGAAATAGGTAAGGTTGGTATTGTAAAATCGGGAAGGTTAACATTGTATAATGGGGAAGGTTAAATTGTATTGTACTTTTAAACTAGGGAAGGTTAATATTGTATACTGGGTAAGGTTAACATTGTATACTGGGTAAGGTAAATACTGTAAACCTTGGAAGGTAAATACTGTAAACTAGGGAAGGTTAATATTGTATACTGGGGAAGGTTACTATTGTATACTGGGGAAGGTTGATATTGAATACTGGGTAAGGTAAATAGTTTAAACTAGGGAAGGTTAATATTGTATACTGGGTAAGGTTAACATTGTATACTGGGTAAGGTAAATACTGTAAACCCTGGAAGGTAAATACTGTAAACTAGGGAAGGTTAATATTGTATACTGAGTAAGGTTAAAGACTTTAAATTAGGGAAGGTTAATATTGTATACTGGGGAAGGTAAATACTGTAAACTAGGGAAGGTTAATATTGTATACTGTGTAAGGTAAATACTGTAAACTAGGGAAGGTTAATATTGTATACTGGGGAAGGTTAATATTGTATACTGGGAAAAATTGATATTATATAATCGATCAGGTAAATACTGTCAACTAGGGAAGGTTAATATTGTATAATGTTGAAGGTTAATATCTTAAACTGGGGAAGTTTAATATTTGATACTGGGGAAGGTTAATATTGTATACTGGGGAAGGTAAATAATGTATACTGGGGAAGGGACTAGGGAAGGTTAATATTGTATACTGGGGATATTGTATAATGGGGAAGGTAAATACTGTAAACTAGGGAAGGTTAATATTGTATACTGAGTAAGGTTAAAGACTTTAAATTAGGGAAGGTTAATATTGTATCCTGGGGAAAATTGATATTGTATACTGGGTAAGGTTAATATTGTATACTGAGGAAGGTAAATACTGTAAACTAGGGAAGGTTGGTATTGTATTCTGGGGAAGGTAAACACTGTAAACTGGGGAAGGTTGATATTGTATGATGGGGAAGGTAAATATTGTATACTGGGGAAGGTTGATATTGTATGCTGGGGAAGGTTAATATTGTATACTGGGGAAGGTTGATATTTTGATGCTGGGCAAGGTAAATACTGTAAACTGGGGAAGGTTGATATTGTATGATGGGGAAGGTAAATACTGTAAACTGGGGAAGGTTGATATTGTATACTGTGGAATGTATACTGGGGAAGGTTAATATTGTATACTGGGTAAGGTTAATATTGTATACTGGGGAAGGTAGATACAGTAAACTGGGGAAGGTTGGTATTGTATTCTGGGGAAGGTAAATACTGTAAACTAGGGAAGGTTAATATTGTATACTGCGGAAGGTTAATATTGTAAACTAATGAAGGTTGATATTGTATAATGGGGAAGGTTAATATTGTATACTGGGGAAGATAAATACTGTAAATTAGAAAAGGTTATTATTGTATACTGGGGAAGGTTAATATTGTATACTGGGGAAGGTAAATAATGTATACTGGGGAAGGTAAATAATGTAAACTGGGGAAGGTTAATATTGTATACTGAGTAAGGTAAACACTGTAAATTAGGGAAGGTTAATATTGTATACTGGGGAAGGTTAATATTGTATACTGGGGAATGTAAATATTGTATACTGGAGAAGGTAAATATTTATACTGGGGAAGGTCAATACTATAAACTACAGAAGGTTAATATTGTATACTGTGGAGGGTAAATACTGTAAACTAGGGAAGGTTAATATTGTATACTGGGTAAGGTAAATACTGTAAATTAGGGAAGGTTAATATTGTATACTGGGGAAGGTAAATACTGTAAACTAGGGAAGGTTAATATTGCATACTGGGAAAGGTTAATATTGTATACTGGGAAGGTTAATATTAGGGAGGGTTTATATTGTATACTGGGGAAGGTTAATATTGTATACTGGGGAAGGTTAATATTGTATACTGGGGAAGTAAATACTGTAGGGAAGGTTAATATTGTATACTGGGGAAGGTTAATATTGTATACTGGGGAAGGTTAATATTGTATACTGGGGAAGGTAAATACTGTAAACTAGGGAAGGTTAATATTGTATACTGGGGAAGGTTGATATTTTATGCTGGGGAAGGTAAATACTGTAAACTGGGGAAGGTTGATATTGTATGATGGGGAAGGTAAATACTGTAAACTGGGGAAGGTTGATATTGTATTCTGTGAAGGGTAAATAATGTAAACTAGGGAAGGTTAATATTGTATACTGGAGAAGGTTGATATTCTATACTGTGGAGGGTAAATACTATATACTAGGGAAAGTTAATATTGTATACTGTTGAAGGTTAATATTGTATACTGGGGAAGGTTAATATTGTAAACTGTGTAAGGGTAATACTATAAACTAGGGAAGGTTAATATTGTATACTGTGGAGGGTAAATACTGTAAACTAGGGAAGGTTAATATTGTTTACTGGGGAAGGTTAACATTGTATACTGGGGAAGGTTAATATTGTATACTGGGGAAGGTAGATACAGTAAACTGGGGAAGGTTGGTATTGTATTCTGGGGAAGGTAAATACTGTAAACTGCGGAACGTTGATATTGTATGATGGGGAAAGTAAATACTGTAAACTAGGAAGGTTAATATTGTATACTGGGGAAGGTTGATATTGTATGCTGGGGAAGGTTAATATTGTATACTGGGGAAGGTAAATACTGTAAACTAGGGAAGGTTTATATTGTATACTGAGTAAGGTTAAAGACTTTAAATTAGGGAAGGTTAATATTGTATACTGGGGAAGGTTAATATTGTATACTGGGGAAGGTAAATATTGTATACTGGGGAAGGTAAATACTGTAAACTAGGGAAGGTTAATATTGTATACTGGGGAAGGTAAATACTTTAAACTAGGGATGGTTAATATTGGATACCGGTTAAGGCTAATACTGTAAACTAGGGAAGGTTAATATTGTATACTGGGGAAGGTAAATACTTTAAACTAGGGAAGGTTAAATACTATGTAACTATGGGGAAGGTAAATACTGTTGGGGAAGGTTGATATTGTACTGTGGAGGGTAAATACTGTAAACTAGGGAAGGTTAATATTGTATACTGGGGGTTAAATTGTATAATGGGGAAGGTTAATATTGTATACTGGGTAAGGTAAATACTGTAGGCTAGGGAAGGTTGATATTGTATACTGGGGAAGGTAAATACTGTATACTGGGGAAGGTTAATATTGTATACTGGGGAAGGTAAATATTGTATACTGGGGAAGGTTAATATTGTATACTGGGGAAGGTTAATATTGTATACTGGGGAAGGTTAATATTGTATAATGGGGAAGGTAAATATTGTATACTGGGGAACGTAAATACTGTAAACTAGGGAAGGTTGATATTGTATACTGTGAAGGTTAATATTGTAAACTAGAAAATGTTAATATTGTATACTGGGGAAGGTAATTACTATAAACTAGGGATGGTGAATATTGTATACTTTGGAAGGTTAATATTGTATACCGGGGAAGGTAAATATTGTAAACTTGGGAAGGTTAATATTGTATACTGGGGAAGGTAAAGACTATAAACTAGGGAAGTTAAATACTATTAACTAGAGAAGATTAATATTGTATACTGTTGAAGGTTAATATTGTATACTGGGGAAGGATAATACTGTAAACTAGGGAAGGTTGATATTGTATACAGGGGAAGGTAAATATTGTAAACTACAGAAGGTTAATATTGTATACTGGAGAAGGTTAATATTGTATTCTGGGTAAGGTAAATACTGTAAACTAGGGAAGGTTATTATTGTAAACTGGGGAAGGTTAATATTGTAAACTGGGTAAGGTTAATATGGTATGATGTGGAAGGTTAATACTATAAACTAGGAAAGGTTAATTTTTGATATTGTGGAGGGTAATTACTATAAACTAGGGAAGGTTAATATTGTATACTGGGAAGGTTAATATTGTAAACTAGAAAAGGTTAATATTGTATACTGGGGAAGGTTAATATTATATACTGGGGAAGTTAAATACTATTAACTAGATAAGGTTAATATTGTATATTGGGAAGGTAAATACTATAAACTAGGTAAGGTTAATATTGTATACTGAGGAAGGTTAATATTGTATACTGGGGAAGGTTAATATTGTATACTGGGGAAGGTAAATATTGTGTGCTTGGGAAGGTTAATACTGTAAATTAGGGAACGTAAATATTGTATACTGAGGAAGGTTAATATTGGATACTGTGGAAGGTTAATATTGTATACTGTGGAGGGTAAATATTGTAAACTAGGGAAGGCAAATATTATATACTGAGGAAGGTTAATATTGTATACTGGGGAAGGTTAATATTGTATACTGGAGAAGGTTAATATTGTATACTGGGGAAGGTTAATATTGTATACTGTGGAAGGTTAATATTGTATAATGGGAAAGGTAAATACTATCAACTAGGGAAGGTTAATATTGTATACTGTGGAGGGTAAATACTGTAAACTAGGGAAGGCAAAAATTATATACTGGGGAAGGTTAATATTGCATAATGAGGATGGTAAATACTGTAAACTAGGGAAGGCAAATATTATATACTTGGGAAGGTAAATATTCTATACTGGGAAAGGTAAATATTGTATACTGGGGAAGGTTAATATTGTATACTGGGGAAGGTTGATATTGTATACTGGGGAAGGTAAATACTGTAAACTAGGGAAGGTTGATATTGTATACTGTGGAGGGTAAATACTGTAAATTAGGGAAGGTTAATATTGTATACTATAAACTTGGGAAGTTAAATACTATTAACTAGAGAAGGTTAATATTGTATACTTGAGAAGGTAATTACTATAAACTAGGGAAGGTGAATATTGTATACTGGGGAAGGTAAATACTATAAACTAGGGAAGGTTAATATTGTATACTGGGGAAGGTTAATATTGTATACTGGGGAAGTTAAATACTATTAACTAGAGAAGGTTAATATTTTAAACTGGGTAAGGTTAATATTGTATACGGTGGATGGTTAATATTTTATACTGGGTAAGGGTAATACTATAAACTAGGGAAGGTTAATATTTCATACTGTGGAAGGTAATTACTATAATCTAGGGAAGGTTAATATTGTATACTGTGGAAGGTTAATATTATATACTAGGGAAAGTTAATATTGTATACTAGTTGAAGGTTAATATTGTATACTGGGGAAGGTTAATATCATATACTGGGGAAATTAAATACTATTAACTAGAGAAGGTTAATATTGTATATTGGGGAAGGTAAATACTATAAACTAGGTAAGGTTAATATTGTATACCGGGGAAGGTAAATATTGTATCCTCGAGAAAATTGATATTGTATACTGGGTAAGGTAAATACTGTAAACTAGGGAAGGTTAATATTGTATAATGGGGAAGGTTAATATTGTATACTATGGAGGGTAAATACTGTAAACTAGGGAAGGTTAATATTGTATACTGGTGTAGGTTAATATTGTAAACTGGGTAAGGTTAATATTGTATACTGTGGATGGTTAATATTGTATACTGGGGAAGGTTAATATTGTGTACTGGGGAAGGTAAATAGTATATACTGGGGAAGGTTAATAATATAAACTAAGGAAAGTTAATACTATAAACTAGGGAAGGTAAATATTCAATACTGGGTAAGGTTAATGCTGTAAACTAGGGAAGGTTATTATTGTATACTGGAGAAGGTAAATACTATAATCTAGGGAAGGTTAATATTGTATACTGTGGAAGGTTAATATTGTATACTGGGGAAGTTTAATACTGTAAACTAGGGAAGGTTAATATTGTATAATGAGGAAGGTTAATATTGTATAGTGGGGAAGGTTAATATTGTATACTGGGGAAGGTAAATATTGTATACTGGGGAAGGTTAATACTGTAACTAGGGAAGGTTAATATTGTATACTGTAGAAGGTTAATATTGTATACTGGGGAAGTTTAATACTGTAAACTAGGGAAGGTTAATATTGTATAATGAGGAAGGTTAATATTGTATAGTGGGGAAGGTTAATATTGTATACTGGGAAAGGTTAATATTGTATACTGGGGAAGGTAAATACTGTAAACTAGTGAAGGTTAATATTGTATACTGGTGAAGGTTAATATTGTAAACTGGGTAAGGTTAAAATTGTATATTGGGGAAGGTAAATACTGTAAACTAGGGAAGGTTATTATTGTGTACTGGGGAAGGTAAATACTATAAACTAGGGAAATCTAATATTGTATACTGGGAAGGTTAATATTTTAAACTGGGTAAGGTTAATATTGTATATTGTAGATGGTTAATATTGTATACTGGGGAAGGTTAATATTGTGTACTGGGGAAGGTAAATAGTATATACTGGGGAAGGTTAATATTTTAAACTAAGGAAGGTTAATACTATAAACTAGGGAAGGTAAATATTCAATACTGGGTAAGGTTAATACTGTAAACTAGGGAAGGTTAATATTGTATACTTGGGAAGGTAAAGACTATAAACTAGGGAAGGTTAATATTGTATACTGTGGAAGGTTAATATTGTATACTGTGGAGGGTAAATACTGTAAACTAGGGAAGGTTAATATTGTATACTGGAGAAGGTTAATATTGTATACTGGGGAAGGTTGATATTGTATACTGGGTAAGGTAAATATTGTATGCTGGGGAAGGTTAATACTGTAACTAGGGAAGGTTAATATTGTATACTGTAGAAGGTTAATATTGTATACTTGAGAAGGTAAATACTGTCAACTAGGGAAGGTTAATATTGTATACTGAGTAAGGTAAATACTTTAAATTAGGGAAGGTTAATATTGTATACCGGGGAAGGTAAATATTGTATCATTGGGAAAATTGATATTGTATACTGGGGATGGTTAATATTGTATACTGGGTAAGGTTAATATTGTATACCGGGGAAGGTAAATATTGTATACTGGGTAAGGGGATAATACTATAAACTAGGGAAGGTTAATATTTCATACTGTGGAAGGTAATTACTATAATCTAGGGAAGGTTAATATTGTATACTGTGGAAGGTTAATATTGTATACTGGGAAGGTTAATATTGTACACTAGAAAAGGTTAATATTGTATACTGGGGAAGGTTAATATCATATACTGGGGAAATTAAATACTATTAACTAGAGAAGGTTAATATTGTATATTGGGGAAGGTAAATACTATAAACTAGGTAAGGTTAATATTGTATACTGTTGAAGATTAATATTTTATACTGGGGAAGGATAATACTGTAAACTTGGGAAGGTTAATATTGTATATTAGGGAAGGTAAATACTGTCAACTAGGGAAGGTTAATATTGTATACTGAATAAGGTAAATACTTTAAATTAGGGTAAGGTTAATATTGTATACCGGGGAAGGTAAATATTGTATCCTCGAGAAAATTGATATTGTATACTGGGGAAGGTTAATATGGTATAATGGGGAAGGTACATATTGTATACTGGGGAATGTTGATATTATAAACTAAGGAAAGTTAATACTATAAACTAGGGAAGGTAAATATTCAATACTGGGTAAGGTTAATGCTGTAAACTAGGGAAGGTTATTATTGTATACTGGAGAAGGTAAATACTATAATCTAGGGAAGGTTAATATTGTATACTGTGGAAGGTTAATATTGTATACTGGGGAAGTTTAATACTGTAAACTAGGGAAGGTTAATATTGTATAATGAGGAAGGTTAATATTGTATAGTGGGGAAGGTTAATATTGTATACTGGGGAAGGTAAATATTGTATACTGGGGAAGGTTAATACTGTAACTAGGGAAGGTTAATATTGTATACTGTAGAAGGTTAATATTGTATACTGGGGAAGTTTAATACTGTAAACTAGGGAAGGTTAATATTGTATAATGAGGAAGGTTAATATTGTATAGTGGGGAAGGTTAATATTGTATACTGGGAAAGGTTAATATTGTATACTGGGGAAGGTAAATACTGTAAACTAGTGAAGGTTAATATTGTATACTGGTGAAGGTTAATATTGTAAACTGGGTAAGGTTAAAATTGTATATTGGGGAAGGTAAATACTGTAAACTAGGGAAGGTTATTATTGTGTACTGGGGAAGGTAAATACTATAAACTAGGGAAATCTAATATTGTATACTGGCGAAGGTTAATATTTTAAACTGGGTAAGGTTAATATTGTATATTGTAGATGGTTAATATTGTATACTGGGGAAGGTTAATATTGTGTACTGGGGAAGGTAAATAGTATATACTGGGGAAGGTTAATATTTTAAACTAAGGAAGGTTAATACTATAAACTAGGGAAGGTAAATATTCAATACTGGGTAAGGTTAATACTGTAAACTAGGGAAGGTTATTATTGTATACTGGGGAAGGTAAATACTATAAACTAGGGAAGGTTAATATTGTATACTGTAGAAGGTTAATATTGTATACTGGGGAAGTTTAATACTGTAAACTAGGGAAGGTTAATATTGTATAATGAGGAAGGTTAATATTGTATAGTGGGGAAGGTTAATATTGTATACTGGGGAAGGTAAATATTGTATGCTGGGGAAGGTTAATACTGTAACTAGGGAAGGTTAATATTGTATACTGTAGAAGGTTAATATTGTATACTGGGGAAGTTTAATACTGTAAACTAGGGAAGGTTAATATTGTATACTGAGGAAGGTTAACATTGTATACTTTGGAAGGTTAATATTGTATACTGGGGAAGGTAAATATTGTATGCTGGGGAAGGTTAATATTGTAAACTAGGAAAGGTTAATATTGTATACTGAGGAAGGTTAACATTGTATACTGTGGAAGGTTAATATTGTATACTGGGGAAGGTAAATATTGTATACTGGGGAAGGTTAATATTAAGCTCTCGAGAAGGTTAATATTCTATACTGGGGAACAGGAAGGTTAATTACGTATAGTTGGGATGTACGAAATTGTAATTCGGGATTGTTAATAATGTAAACTCGGAAAGGGTAATACTGTAAGTTAATGTTGTCGACTTTGGGAAAGTAGGTATGGTACGCTCCGTCACCAAACATGAGTAAAACACACGTAGAAATTACACGTTTGAGGTTAGAGAAATTTAAACAGTGGGGGAACGTATCCAAAGTATGTTCTTGCATCTGTAATCACTTAATACACCAAGTTTACACAGAAATTCTTTTATGATCTTCAGATATTTTATGTTGTAGTCCCGGTGTGATCATCACGAACTTTCAGAAAAATGCGGGAATGGCGGACGACATATATACACAGGTAAAGTAGGCGTATACCCACGAAATAAATACAATTATACAATAACTCTTAGGTATACCTTCCATGGCTGACGACAGATATGAACAGGTTGTTCAGTAGTAATCATAGGTTCTCCTAAACTGTAAGAAAATATATTCAACCACCAACTATGATGTACTATTTAAATGTCTTCAATATTTGTGTAGACTTTCCTCAACGATCGTATCATTATACATGTATTCAGCTGTAACAGTTGTACAAAACCTTTGTCCTTGCACTAACTTAGTGCAACGTGACGTGGTGAAAATTCTAGACAAGAAAATACCGACATGTTAACAAAAATCATAATTTAAAATAGATATCAATGAAACGGTGACAAAATAGAAAATAACGATTAGCAAAAACGCTACGACTAAGACCTGTTTCAGGATGATAAGTATTTTTGTATCAACGACTTCTGACCCTGGTTGTTCAAAGACCGGTTAGAAATAATCAGCAGTTGGTGGAAACTTCGCATGATGAATTAAACAATATTCAAATCATTTTATCATTTCATAGCTACAGATTTGTTGAGAAAGGTGAGACTGATATATTTTGAGGATTAATTTGGCCTTGACCTCTTGTATTTTACACGAATCTTTCGCTTACCGCTGGATACCCGTATTCTCCGTGTATTGAGGTCAAGTAATGTCACGTTCTCAAATGAAAGTCGGGTTCATAACAATGAAACCACCAGACAAGCTTCTTCGTTGCTCAAGGAAGGAATTTCTAATTATGCTGAACAAGGCGACCATAAAACGTCTCCGTATCCATTTATGGATAGGATCATCCCTGCATCCCCAACCTAAGGTGTTAACATGTTGATGCGGTTATTAAGGAACTGTTGCCATCATACGAGTTTTTTGTGCGAGAAGTCGTCAACTGGCGGACAACCTTAACCTCATAGCACAGGATTTCAAAAGATGCAGGTTGAACAAACTTATGTGGAAGTTTTGCAGTCTTCATAGTGATCTCATCAATATCTTATTTCTTTATGTGATATGAATCTAGTGGGTGTCGTCGATGAAGCATAAGACGTTTAATATTTTGGAACAGCTTACATTTTTTCTCCGTGTCTTTTCTTTGAGCATATTTAGTGATTGTATTATTGAAGTTTGGATTATTATTCTGTGGAAATGTTGGCGTTTATTAGCATTTTTACTTCGAACATCTATCTAATTTAATTTCTTATCCAAGTTCGTCAACATTACAGAAAAAGAAATTTTGTTTATGTGTTCATGTACATGCATGTATTTGTTGATGTAATGATTTGTCGTTGTAGTTCACTATTATAATCATTTTATTAAAAGTACATTATTCAAACATATGGGTAGTCATTGAAGAGTAAAGTATCCAGTGTCTAATAACATACAGGTAGTCATTGAACATTAAAGTACTTGTTGTTTAATAACATACGGGTAGTCATTGAACAGTAAAGTATTCAGTGTCTAATAACATACAGGTAGTCATTGAACAGTAAAGTACTTGTTGTTTAATAACATACGGGTAGTCATTGAACAGTAAAGTATTCAGTGTCTAATAACATACAGGTAGTCATTGAACAGTAAAGTATTCAGTGTCTAATAACATACATGTAGTCATTGAACAGTAAAGTATTCAGTGTCTAATAACATACAGGTAGTCATTGAACAGTAAAGTATTCAGTGTCTAATAACATACAGGTAGTCATTGAACAGTAAAGTATTCAGTGTCTAATAACATACAGGTAGTCATTGAACAGTAAAGTATTCAGTGTCTAATAACATACAGGTAGTCATTGAACAGTAAAGTATTCAGTGTCTAATAACATACAGGTAGTCATTGAACAGTAAAGTATTCAGTGTCTAATAACATACCGTTAGTCATTGAATAGTAAAGTACTGGGTGTCTAATCACTTCCTTGGTTCGTTTCATATTAAATCGGATATCTGTCTAAATGTACAATGAGAATATAAGTAGACGTACGGTTATGTATTTGTTGGAATAGGTCAGACGATACAAAGTAAATTTGAGTACTTTCATCTCCCTTCTAAACACAACTCAGTCGTAATCCTGCTGATCAAGCCTTTTTCTGTGTTTTCAGTACATGTATGATGTATTATTGATTTTCAGTACATCGACCGCCAAAAATCCCTTCAGCCTCTAGGGGGCGCTGGCGACCCCGAAGAGGTTGCTAAGGCGATTAGATTCCTGGCATCTGATGAGTCTTCCTTCGTTACCGGTCAACTGATATTTGTGGATGGAGGACGTCACGTGTTTTCTCCGTGTTAGAAACCACTTGAAATCACAGCTGTCGTATTGTCAATGTAAAATAGATAACACACGAGTGTTTGCCATCTTTAATAAACTGTAACAAAACACTGTATTGAAATAAAATCATTACAAAAGACATATACGCTTCTATTCTGTTTAATGATACGCATGTTTTTTTTCGCCGATACGTCTTACAGAAACACATTTTCTTACGCAATTACAATTGATGTTAATGAATTCTGAAATATTTATGCTGTTAGTACTCGTGACGAGTCCTGAAATATGTATGCGTGTTAGTACTCGTGACGAGTCCTAGAATATTTTTGCGTGTTAGTACTCGTGACGAGTCCTGAAATGTTTATGCCTGGTAATACTCGTGACGATTCCTGAGCCACTCATGACGAAACCTCGCACAATTATGCCTGGTGGCCATGATTTACTCAAGAACTCTGACATAACTGTTTGGTGGCCATGATTCACTCAAGAGCTCTGACATAACTGTTTGGTGGCCATGATTTACTCAAGAGCTCTGACATAACTGTTTTGTGGCCTTGATTTACTCAAGAGCTCTGACATAACTGTTTGGTGGCCATGATTTACTCAAGAGCTCTGACATAACTGTTTGGTGGCCATGATTTACTCAAGAGCTCTGACATAACTGTTTTGTGGCCTTGATTTACTCAAGAGCTCTGACATAACTGTTTGGTGGTCATGATTCACTCAAGAGCTCTGACATAACTGTTTGGTGGTCATGATTCACTCAAGAGCTCTGACATAACTGTTTGGTGGTCATGATTCACTCAAGAGCTCTGACATAACTGTTTGGTGGTCATGATTCACTCAAGAGCTCTGACATAACTGTTTGGTGGCCATGATTCACTCAAGAGCTCTGACATAACTGTTTGGTGGCCATGATTACATTTTAGTCATTATTGTTCTCTTATTTGTATAGAACAGGCATTGATGAATAAACAGTAAGGATAAGAGCACATATTCTCCCATATTATAACATTGATATATGTTTACACTTATTACATATTTCAATAAACAAACATTCTACATCAATGTCAGTAAAACAAATAACCATATCATGGGTTTCATTATCCACAAAATGAGAATAAAGATAAAAAGAATAACAAACTGGCTCTGTTCTCCTGGTGAATGGTTTGAATACTATGAGTATATAAGATGTTGACTAAAGTTAATTGTCATTAGTTATGAATATACAGAGTTTCATCTGAAACCTGATACTGTCATCATATGACAAACATTAACACATATTTTGATACCGGGATATGGCTGATCTACATCCGGGTTACGACTGATACGGGGTCACATGTTACATCAAGCATATCGTGTAATGAAATCGTTAAAATCATTGAAATATGTGTCTCAGAGATCACGCATTCTTCTATGACATGTAGGCAAACACAATAACGGCTTAACGAGACAATACTTCACGGAACTCAATTGCGTTCTGATAATGATAACTACATCTCTAACATGTTCATCAACATCAAACTCTGGAGTGGATTAACCTGTCCACCAGATAAGGCTTGGAAAAGCATCATCTGTTGCATTAACTGCATATTTTCCTCATTCATTGCGGCTCTGTGTCGGAATGGGTTGTATCGCCATGACCTGTTTGCCGATGGTCTGGGTGCCGGTCTCCTGTGCTGGGCTTGAATTGTTGGTTTGACTGGTGCTGGCGTGGATGCGAGTTGAGCTGGACGTAAAGACATCAACACACTCTTGTTCGGGAGTGTCTTCTTCTGAATAACAGCTTGGTTTCCAGCTGCTTGTTTTGCTGGAGCTTGAAGTCTTGGTCCTTGTTTGCCTGGGATTTGATTTCTAGAGACCAGTTTCCCTTGTGATTGACGTAGTTGACCCTGGTGTCCTTGGACTTGCACGTTAGCTTTCTGTCTGGGAGCTTGGCGTGGTGGGCCGTGATTCTCTGGAACTTGCTTTCCTTCGTCTTGGCGAGCTGCAGTTGGCATTGTCTGGGTCGCCTGAGGTCTAATCCTTCCAGTCTGTACACGAGAATTCACGTTCTGTCCATGTCCTGGTCTTGATCTGACTGGCGTCTTCATAGACTTACACTCAGATTTATTGTCCGACTTCAAGACCAGTCGTGGCTCACAACCATCTGGTAATACCTTGCACTCTGTTGGGACTACCAGATTCGCTGAACGAATTCCGTACCTATAGAGAGGAAATGAAGAAATTAGTATCTGTCTGGATAAAATCGTACGTGTTTGGGCTTGATACCTATCTTTAAAGTTTTAGATAGGCAACATTCACACACACACACACATAGGCTAGTTAAGTAATAGAACGATACCTGAAATAAAGTTATGTTGGATGAAATCATTTGAAAAACCGCATGTTGATATAATGCTTGCCCCTATGTGTTACAATCCATTTAACAAAATTAAATTGAATTACTGTACCAATGCACACAATGATGTGTCGTTAAAAAGTTTTAGAAATGTCTGAACTTACAATAACCTTTTACAGAGCATGGGTATAGTTTATGTTACTGTATTCTATACGTAAAACTACGGATCCTGTATTGAACGATAGTTTCAGTCGGTTGAAATGCAGTAGTGAACATGGACACTACAGGCTTAATACTTATGATCAAAGGATTTTTAAAGACGTAAGTGTTACAAGTGGTCATTGTTAGTTTTAGTATAGAATAATATTATACACAAAATAGCCAAATCATAAAGAAAACACCCTTTTCCCTCATACTAGGATTCGTCAGTGATATAAAACTAGATTTCAAAATGTAAGTTAGGAGATCGACTTCCCCAAAATACAATCACTAATACGATCTCCGGTATTAGCTGCTTTTAAAGGAACCTCAGGTACACGTTTATGTTCTGAACCGAGCCACTATTAGAATGAATTAAAATGAGGCGTAAGGGGTAACAAGAGGCTATTAGAACAGCAGTACCTACTGATGTTTCAAAGGATTATATATTGAACAGCAATAGAATATACACACTGACATCTCAAAGGATTATATATTGAACAGCAATAGAATATACACACTGACATCTCAAAGGATTATATATTGAACAGCAACAGAATATACACACTGACATCTCAAAGGATTATATATTGAACAGCAACAGAATATACACACTGACATCTCAAAGGATTATATATTGAACAGCAACAGAATATACACACTGACATCTCAAAGGATTATATATTGAACAGCAACAGAATATTCACACTGACATCTCAGTATACAGTACTTAGTGAACAACTCATCTTTACAATGTATCTACCCGGATTTAACTCTGTCACTTTCGACAAACAAAATATTACGTAATGGATATGTTTCATAGTCTCATTCTAAAAACCTTTACTAATTCTGTCACATTCTGAACAGTTAGACAGGTTCAGTGCATCCTGAATTAACATGATTTGTTATGACTATTCTATTTAATTCGTAATTAATTATGTATGTAGGAACTGTCACTTTGGCATGACATTGGCGGATGGTCAGTGACCAGGGTCCTTGTCTAACGAGTTACAGATCCGAGGAGAGTGATCCCTTACATTCCAGTCGTCGTTGTGCTAGGAATCACATGTCACTCCTTACCAAATACATGTTTACCAGTGTCGTGTGTGATTTATGTCTACATTGTTTACACAAGTCAAACAATGGTCATCTGTTTCAGTCATCACTCATTGTATTGTTTAACAGAATTCTCCTTTTGTTAGATCGCCGTAAAAGCCTCCACTATAAATGGTTCCCGACATATGACAAATACTATGAACGTAAGAGGAAATAAAACGGACTATATTGCTTAACTTATTAGAAACAGACACTATGTGATAAGAACTAATACTAATGTGTACTAGCAGGCGTCCAAGGCGTGCGTCCGACAGACTAGGAATTATGTTTGAACAAGCGTCCAACCGACTAAGAATTAAGTCTAAAGGTCCCTTAAAGATGAGTTTTGCACTGTTCCGTTGTATCTGTCACGTTCCTTATTGTTACCTGCAGTCTCCTCAACTCTCTCCCTAAACGCCTTTTTTATTTCTCCAACACAACAATTAAGTTTTTTTTTATTTCCCTATCACAATAGTTAAGTTTTTTTATTTTTCTATCACAATAATTAATTATTTTTCTCTCTAACACAACAGTTAAGCTTTTCATTTCTCTAAGACAACAATTAGCCCTTTTCTATTTCTATAAAACAATAATTACACTTTTGTTTATTTCTCTAATACAATAATGCAGCTTTTTTTTTTTAAATTCTCTAACACAACCGTTAAGCTTTTTTTTTTTTAATTTTTCTAACAGAAAATTAAGCTTTTTTTAGTTCTCTTACACAGCAGTTAAGCTTTTCTATTCTCTAACACAATAAATCAGCCTTTTGACATCTCTAACACAATAGTTAAGCTTTTTTCTTATTTATCTAACATGATAATTAAGTTTTTATATTTGTCTTACTTAATAAATAAGTTTTTATGTTTATCTAACTTAATAATTAAGCATTTATATTTATCTAACTTAATAATTAAGTTTTTATATTTATCTAACATGATGATTAAGCTTTTATATTTATCCAACATAATAATTAAGTTTTGATATTTCTCAAACTTAATAATAAAGTTTTTATATTTATCTAACTTAATAATTAAGTTTTTATATTTATCTAACTTAATAATTAAGTTTTTATATTTGTCTAACTTAATAATTAAGCATTTTTTTTATTTCTCTAACTTAATAATTAAGTTTTTATATTTATCTAACTTAATAATTAAGCTTTCATATTTATCTAATTTAATGATTAAGTGTTTTTACTTCTCTTACACAGTAATTAAGTTTTTTATTTCTCTAATAAAATGATTAAAGTCTTTTAATTATTCTACTACAATGATTATTTTGTTTATATATTTACAATATGTTTCTTTAACACAATAATCAAGCTTTTTGTATTTGTCTTACACAATAATTACACTGATGAAGCTTTTTTGTTTCTCCAACACAATAATTAAGCTTTCTTATTTCTTTAACACAATACTTAAGTTTTTTTTATTTATTCATTTAACGTCTCATTTTGTCAAATGAAAATTAGAAATAAATAAACAGAATTAGTCTTCATAAAAGGGATTATTCCCTATAAGGAACATGTGAATGTGTGAAGAAATAATTTTACTGATAGTACACTTGATATTCTGAATCGTTTAACTTCCGTGTCAAAAATACCATCTCTGACATTTTGCTATTTTCTACTGAAAAAGGTTTAAACGTGCAAAAATACCATCTCAAATGTGTTTTATCGAAACGTCGATATTCATTCAGTTCAGCCCAATTATAAGTGCATCAGGAAAATGACACATCTCTGACGGTCTTCTTTAGAATTCTCTAGAAACAAACTGTCTCAAAAATACCATTTCTGATAGTCGTCTTACAGTTCTCTACCGTAGGAGGCTTAGCGTGTCAAAAATACCATCACTGTAGCGTGTCAAAAATACCATCAGTGTGTAAAAAATACCATCTCTGTCTTACAGTTCTCTACAGTCGTGTCTAGGAGGCTTAACGTACAGTTCTTAACGTATCAAAAATACCATCTCTGACAGTCTTCTTTCAATTCTCTACCGTATGAGGACTAGTGTGTCAAAAATACCATCACTGACAGTCGTCTTACAGTTCTCTACCGTATGAGGACTAGTGTGTCAAAATACCATCTCTGACATTTGGCTTATAGTTCTCTACCGTAGGAGGCTTAGCGTGTCAAAAATACCATCTCTGACAGTCGTCTTACAGTTCTCTACCGTAGGAGGCTTAGCGTGTCAAAAATACCATCACTGACAGTCGTCTTACAGTTCTCTACCGTAGGAGGCTTAGCGTGTTAAAAATACCATCTCTGACAGTCTTCTTACAGTTCTCTACCGTAGGAGGCTTAGCGTGTCAAAAATACCATCACTGACAGTCGTCTTACAGTTTTCTACAGTAGGAGGCTTAGCGTGTCAAAAATACCATCACTGACAGTCGTCTTACAGTTCTCTACCGTAGGAGGCTTAGCGTGTCAAAAATACCATGTCTGACAGTCTTCTTACAGTTCTCTACCGTAGGAGGCTTAGCGTGTCAAAAATACCATCTCTGACAGTCGTCTTACAGTTCTCTACCGTATGAGGACTAGTGTGTCAAAAATACCATCACTGACAGTCTTCTTACTGTTCGCTGCCGTAGGATGCTTAACGTATCAAAAATACCATCTCTGACAGTCGTCTTACAGTTCTCTACCGTAGGAGGCTTAGCGTGTCAAAAATACCATCTCTGACAGTCGTCTTACAGTTCTCTACCATAGGAGGCTTATCGTGTCAAAAATACCATCACTGACAGTCGTCTGATAGTTCTTTACCGTAGGAGGCTTAGCGTGTCAAAATACCATCACTGACAGTCGTCTTACAGCTCTCTACTGTAGGAGGCTTAGCGTGTCAAAAATACCATCTCTGACAGTCTTCTTACAGTTCTCTACCGTAGGAGGCTTAACGTGTCAAAAATACCATCTCTGACAGTCTTCTTACAGTTCTCTACCGTAGGAGGCTTAATGTGTCAAAAATACCATCTCTGACAGTCGTCTTACAGTTCTCTACCGTAGGAGGCTTAACGTGTCAAAAATACCATCTCTGACAGTCTTCTTACAGTTCTCTACCGTAGGAGGCTTAACGTGTCAAAAATACCATCTCTGACAGTCTTCGTTCAATTCTCTACCGTATGAGGTCTAGTGTGTCAAAAATACCATCTCTGACAGTCGTCATACAGTTTCTCTACTTAGTGTTTCAAAACTACCATCTCTGACAGTCTTCTTACAGTTCTCTACCGTAGGATGACTAGTGTGTCAAAAATACCATCACTGGCAGTCGTCTTACAGTTCTCTACCGTAGGAGGACTAGTGTGTCAAAAATACCATCTCTGACAGTCGTCTTACAGTTCTCTACCGTAGGAGGCTTAGAGTGTCAAAAATACCATCTCTGACAGTCGTCTTACAGTTCTCTACCGTAGGAGGCTTAACGTGTCAAAAATACCATCACTGACAGTCGTCTTACAATTCTCTATCGTATGAGGACTAATGTGTCTAAAAATACCATCTCTGACAGTCTTCTTTCAATTCTCTACCGTATGAGGACAAGTGTGTCAAAAATACCATCTCTGACAGTCGGTTTATAGT